GCCGCGGGAGGGGCTCAGAGCTGCCTCAGCACAGTCTCCTCTCCTCCTCACCCCTCCTCCTCCCTCCCTGCGAGTGTAGACAGCCCTGAGGGTAGGCGTCTGGCTTCCTCTCCCTCTTCTAGGCTTTGGTGCTGGACGTCGGGGCGGGAGGCGGGCAGCAGGTCATGTCCCCACGAGCAATCCCCAACCTTACCTCGTAAATATAATCAAAGAGCTCTAGTATTGTGAGGATACTAGCACCAATGAACAGTCCCATCTGACCACCAATGTCACCTGGGGAGAGAGAGAGAGAGGATAGGGGTTCGGCTTTACTGACAGTGTTTCCAGGAGGGGTGAACAGACTGAGAACTCGGAAACCAGGCTTCCTGAATGGTCCCCCCGGACCCCCGGAGCCTGGGCCTGGTCACTGGAAGGCCAGGCCCTTGACAAGTCCCTCCCTCAGTGCGCAACTCTGAGAGCTGAGGGTTTCCAGCACCCAGTGGGGCGGGAACTAACTGGCCCGCTTGCTGGGCGCAGGGGACCTGGAATAGATCCCACAGCTGGTGGGCTTCGCTCAGCACCACTCGGAACCACGCTGGCGGGGCCCAGCTCTGGCTCCGGGCTGGGAACAGACAAGACGTGTGTGGCCCCTGCCCTGGGTGAGGGCACGGTCTAGCACGAGACAGGTGTCAGGTGCCCTGAGTGGGGGTCTAGGGAGCAGTGACAAAAGAGGACCCCCCCCCCAGTCATGACGTGGCCTCGGGGCACCTCTTGCCCTTGGGATGAGGCTTTAGGACGCATCCCCCTACCTCTCCACTCTAAGTAAATGTTCAGTTTGGTCTCTTTCTACAGAAGAGGTTCTTACTCTGGGTGTGTGGCTCCCTTGACCCAAGGGGTTGTCTAGACTGTTCTTCTGGCCCTCTTGCATCAAACTCCTGGGAGACTGGTAATCAGTGTAGATGCATGGACCTATTCGAGGCCTCAGAATCTCTGGGGTTGGGATCTGGAGGTCAGGATTTTAAAGTCCCTAGGTGGCTCTCTGGCCCACCAGAGTTTGAGAACCACTCTCCTGTGAAAGCATCTGATGATTGGAGACCCCCTAAACTGAATGCAAACCGTTGTGTGTGTGCATCTGGGCATTTGTAGCAGGTGGGTCTGTATAGAAATAGGTCTTTCAGAAACTATTATCAGATTCTCAAGGGGGTTCTGATCCCTCTAAAGCCCCAAATGCTCTGCTCCAGAGGCAGTACGGTGGAGCAGAGGGCTCCGAGGCTGTGTGTTTGGAGGGTGGCCATCAGCTTGGTGGCTTTGATAAACCTTGACCTTCTCATAGCTTTGCCTTCAAAGGACATTTGGTGGTGGAGGGGGTTGGGAACGGGCTGGCAGAGATGAACTTTCCATCTGTGATCTCTAAGGCTGTCAGCCACTGGGCTGGGCTGGGCTGGGGAGCGCCAGGAATTGGGGAGCTCTTGGGGGTGGACCTACAGACCTCCTGGAGATTCCAGGCTGCCCTTGGTCTGAGAACTTCCTGATGAGTACACCTGCCCACTCCTGCCCTGATCAGACTGGGAGGAGCCCAGCAACCACATCTCCTGGTGAACAAGCCCAGATGGTGGGGAGGGGCCCCTTCATTCCTCTCCTCCCCCACCGCCCCCAATAATGTCCTTAATGGAGGCTGATCGGGGAGCGTGTCCACGCGTATGTGCATGTCAGGAGTGAGGTGTGTGTTGGTACATGTGAGCGGTGTGGCGGAGAGTGTGCCAGGGTGCTGTGTGTGTGCACGTGTTTGTCACAGAAGCAGGCAGTATGTCTGGCCATCAATGGCTTTACATAGGTGGCAGTCCCTGTCTAGGGTGGGGACGCCGAGTACGTCTCAGTGTGATTTTGGGGGATGGGTATAGTGTGTCTGAGTGTGTAGACCACATGTGAGCATGTATAGGTGTAAGTGTGCTTGTGTATAGCAGGTGTGGGTGATGAGTGTGTGTGTGTGTGTGCACACACATGTCTCTGTAGCTGCGTGGCTGGCTGGTGAGTCTGCACAGGTGTGCCCTGGTGAGTGTGGTGCGTGTGTGCAGACTGTGGTGGGGTGTGCAGTGTGCAGCGGGGGGAGGGTGGGCCACGGGGACTGGGAGACAAGGGCCTGATTGGGCCCCGTGGCTCAGGGTTTGCGAGCGGCACACGCTGTCCTTGCGGGAGGTACAGATGGCAGCGTGATTTGCTCAGCAGACTGTTCTGGGTGGGAATAAGATGCTGGGAACACGCTCTCCTCTTATCTGATGCAGAGACCAGCTATCTCTCCTGACAGATTTGGAGCTCAGGCCGTCCTCCTGTGTGTGTGTGTGTGTGTGTGTGTGTGTGTGTTTGTGTGTGTGTGTGACTGTGAGCCTATGGTGGGGAGGGGAGGAGGGGGTGGGGAGGAAGCATCTCCTTGGTCCTCTTCAGGAAATAAAGGTGGCAGGGGTGGGGCTTTACCACCGGCGCAGGGCATGAGTCGCTCGGCACAGTCTGTTTGGCCACAACATTCCCCTAGCCCGGAGTCATGACCAACTGAGCCCAGCGGGGACCTTGCTGTGGCCCGGCCCCCAGCCTCCTGGGAGAGGCACGCAGAAATCCTCAGATGGTGCACAAGGTGGGCCCTGGGACCCTGGCATGATGTCTGTCCAGGTGCCAGAAACCACAATTTAGGGAACTTCCACGGGCTTTATCATATTTAATCGTCATGGCAAACTCACAAAGTGGGTTTTATTAGACCCATTTTACAGATGAGGGGCCTGAGGCTCAGTGAGGTGAAGCCACCTGCCCACGTTCTCCCATGGTGTGCTCTCCCCTGGAACTTCCAGGGAGAAGGAGTCTGCCTCCCCACCCCCACCCAGGATGCCTTTCACCTGGCTCAGTTCACAGAGTCAACCAGAGCTGTTTCCCCGTGTAGCCACAGACACCAGATCCTTCCTCAGGAGTGAGTGGGAGTCGGGGGGAGGGCCCAAGGGCAGATCTTTTAACTGTCCACCCTGAGGGGTTTTGTGAGTTTTGCGCTGGGGGCTGGGGCAGGGTTGAAATTAACTCCCTACATTTACCATGTGTCCACGGGGCCAGCGGAGCTGACATGAACCAGGGTGGGGTGGCAGTCAGGTTTGTGGGTTTCTGGGGACATGTGGCCCTTCTTTTGTGTTTGACAAAGGACTCTCAGTCCAGGGGGCTCCTGGCCTCAACGCAGCAATGATGCTTTCCGGATGGGGGCTCCATGGGGGGCCCTCCTGGGGTCTGCTGCCTGGGACCTCCCACAGCTCAGCCTTCCCTCCAGCCAATAGCTCTTTCTTCCTGCCACTGCCCCAGGGCTCTGACTCTAACCATGGGATCCAAGAGGGTGGTGCTGGAAAGGCCCTGAGAGACTTTCCAGCTCGCCTGCCTCATTGTGTCAGTGGGGAAACTGGGGCATGAACTGGGCCTAACACCTCCATCCCATGGAGCTCTTTCCCATTCTGGGGGAGAAGTGCCAGGAAAGAGAGCAATCCATGAATTAAAAGGCTGGATTTCTCAGGAGGCTTTTTGATCCACCTGCCTGCCCGCCCATCCCCCCTCCCTCTACCTGCGATGAGATACGGAAATTTGGGGGACAGACACTGACTTACCAAGTAAGGCAGCAACTTCGTACGCCTTCTTCTGTTCGATTGTCTCGTAATTGAGAGCTTCAAAAAATATATCCAGAACAAGGATGTTCTCTCTGTGGAGGGAATGTTCAGTGTCACATGATGGTTAGAGCCATCAGGATCCACGGGGATCATCTCATACCGTTTTCCCACAAACAGATGGGAACACAGAGGCCCAGGGAAGTGGGAAAACTGGCTCAAAGTTAGAGCTGATTAGTGGCTGAGTGGGGCTTGAACCGGGGGTCCTGAGTCCCAGCCCAGTGCTCTCCACGGGACGGGAGGCGGGTATCAGTGGTCCCCTTTGCCCCTTGTTGCTAAACCTCCTCTCTCTTTGCACCCTTTACAGGAATCCTGCCTGGCCTCTAGGTCTCTGCGCCCCCAGAGGGTCTGCCTGGGCCCTTAGGTGCAGGTGAGCTCAGCAGAGAGGCTACTCCAGAGAGGCCCCCAGTTCCTACTGGGATTAATACCAAGCTTCTCCTCATGGAGGCCCGAGCCCGGCATCGCCAAGTCAGCTGCTGGAGCCAGGGAGGATTTTTCAGGGGCAAACCTCTATCTGGCTGCAAGGTTTCCTGGAGGAAGGACCTCAGTTCCCTTTTGCTCTTTCGGGCAGATGTGTGAATGAGATACTTCTGGGCAGGAAAGATCATTACTGCAGGCAGAATGTCTGCCGACAGCAGGCCTGGCACCTCCTGCAATTCCCTGTCGCCTTCAGCGTCGCTCACAAGGCCCTCAAGTGCCCCTGGTCCTCAACCCACTGAGCAAAACTGTCCCAGGATGCAACCTGGCGACTGTGTGGGCCGGGGGTGGGGAGTGGCTGGGGAGAGAGGAGCAAACCCTCCTCTCCACGCAGAGCTCGCTCAAAGCATCCGCATCTCCCGCCTGGTTTATGGCAACTGCCTGGGACCAGGCTCCCTTCTGCCCACCTGGCTTCCTGCTGGTCCTGGTCCTCTGACTGCCGCCTGAAGGGTCCTTCTAAAAGCGCTAATTCACATGGCATAAAATTAGCACATAGCTCCTCTGTCACTCAGCCTCCATTTAAAATGCTCCATAGCCACACGTGGCCAGGGGCCACCATGTCGGACATCACAGATCTAGAACCTTTCAGGAAGGTTCTACCGGACGGCAGTGGTCCAAGATGCATGTGAGCCTGTCACTCACCTGCTTGAAGTTCTTCCTCAGCTCCCTGTCCTCTTAGAAAAAAGCCCACACTCCCTGCACCCCGCCGCTGCCAGCTCAGCTTCCAAGGTCCTCCAGCTTGGATACCTCCACCTCCGCCAGCTGCCCCGGCAGTGCGTCCTCTTGTCTGCCCCGCACTAACTCTCTTGGCCGAGCCTCTGCCTGGGACGCCCTCTTCTCCCGTGTCTTGCTTTAATTTATTCCGTTAAAAGATATTTTTTGAGCATCTACTCTGTGCCAGACACTCCACAGCAGAGAACAAAACAGAAAGGTTCCTGCCCTCAAGAAGCTTTCGATCTCCTGGGGCAGGCAGGTAATTTAAGGAAACACACACCTGGATATAGAATTACACATGGTGGTGAGGGTTATAAAGGAAAACACCAGCGGGCTTTGAGAGAAACATAGCAGGAGGGGGGCCTAAGGTAGCTGTCCAAAGAGATGACATTTAAATGGAGACCTGCATAATGAGGAACCAGTTAGGTGGAGAGTGAAAGGAAAAGTAATTCCGGCAGAGGGAACAGAATGTGCAAAACCTGCCTGGAAAAAGCTCTTATACATCCTTCGAAAGAAATCTCTGAAGCTTTCCTTGACGGCAATCCTATGCAAGGTGCAGCCGACCACCTCTCTTATTATCTGAATCGGCCTGTGTAGCATTCACTTTTCTACTTGTCTCCCCATAAGGCTGCAAGCTCCTTACTGGCAGGGGCTGCATCTTAGTCACCTTTGTTTTCCTATTCTGAGTGTGGAGCCCAGAACTTGGCACACAGCAGAGGCTCAATGAATGTCTGCCAGACAGAACCAACTCTTTGCCTCGGCTCTCTTCCTCGATGGCCCTCAGTTTCCTCCTGGTCCTTCCTCCCCCAGCCCCCGTCCACCACGCCCGCTTGGCTTACGAGATATATTTTTCTGATTTGTTAAATTTCTTCTCGAGGTACTTGGCTGATGTCTTGCTGGGGATCTTGACCATGGAGAGCTCTTTGTTGTAGCGGGTCAGGCTGCAGGGCGTCCTGCAGAGACAGTAATTACTGTCCTTCTCTGCCAGCAGACCTGGAGGGGAGAGGGAGGCAGGGCTGAGGCAGGTGTGGGGACAGGGACCTCTGGGCCCAGAGCAGCCCGGTTCCCGCAGAGGAGAGGTGAGCTGAGAAGGAGGTGCCACTGGGTAAATGTGGGGGCGGTGGAGGGAGGCAGAGCTGGGCTTCTGCTGGAGGCTGATGAGGGTGAGAGCGCCCCCTCTTCCTGTGTTACCCTTGCTCCTTGTTCCTTCTGCTTCCTTTACTGTCACGTGGCCCTTTTAACATATTTGAAAGGACAGCACTTCTGGAGAATGGGCTCCAAGAGAGTCCACGTCCCAGGGCCCCCTTCTCTGCTCCTCACCTCCTGGAGATATCGGGACGTTCAGAGCGGCATCACTTAGCTCCAGCAAGTGCAGCTGCTGAACAAACTTACGTCCAGATGATCTCAATACCCTGCTTGTCTTGGTTATAATCATGTCCCAGGTCCTGGGAGAGGCAGGCACGTGGAGGCAGGCTTTGGGGTCGCCGCTTGTCGGTGTGATCTCCCTCATGGGAAGTTTTCCCAAG